ATCTGGCTTCTTTTCTTCTTGTTCTTTTGGTGGCTCAGTTTGTACAGAAGGTTTTATATGGGCTTCGTGGGCTTCGCCCTCGGTGCCATGCACCTTAATGTTGTCGCTTTCTGCATTCGCTAATGGAACCTTTCTTTTTCTTACATATATTTTACCATCTTTACTCTGACTTACATAATAGAAAGGATGTTGTATTCCTCTTGCGTCATTTAATATAATAGACTCTCGTTCTGATTTTGACAAGCTCATTTTACATCGGTTAAAGTTTTAAGTTAGTTTTTTATCTACAGTCAAATGACTCAGACAAGTCATATGGACAAGACCCAAGGGGTCATAGATGTTGAAGCATTGAAGAAAGAAATTCGCGAGCAAATTTTATCCGAACTGAAGGAACAAAAACAAGAACAAAAGCCAGAGAGACCAAAGAGAAAACTTAGTGAAAAACAACTAGCTGCATTAGCTGCTGGAAGACAGAAGAACCCACGTTTGCTGGCGAAAAAAGCTAGAGAAGAAGCAAAAGCAAAGGAAGAACAAAAGCAAAGGAAGCTGAAGCAAAGAAAGAGTAAATGGTTTATTTTTATCCGAATTAAATGTATAGACAAATACCTTTATCTGTTGCGTTCAGCAGTGAAAACCCTGACGTCAAAATAAAGGGGAACAGAGTAACGTTTAAGTTTCCAACAGACTGGATTGTGAACATAAATGAAGAGAAGTACATTGGCATAACATCTATGTATATAACACGTGCTTTCAGAAAGGTTGACTTTATACTTCAAGTCGAGATAGAAAATGACGAACAGTCTTTAAGCGCCCAAAACATTCACATATACAAATACTTTAAAGACGATACAACATTGTTGCAATGTATGATTTCATTTAATGAGATGTTCGAGAAAAAGTTTCAATATTGAAGTACAAACTTTACAGCCTTTACGTGAGTTTCTTGCACAACTGAAAGAAGAAGGTAGTCAGCCACAACTTATAGACTTTCATTATGAATTTAATGAAAATGAAGATGGAACACATGACTGTCAATTCATTGTATTCTCACCATTCAATGAAGTCGCTAAAAAGAAAGAAAATCCATTACGTATAAGGTTTCAAATCTCTGAACCCAATGATGATTTTAAGAATGTTTTCAATTATGATGCAATGCTTCCGAGGAAAAATGAATTTTCAAAGATTGTAACACCTGGCATTTGGGATAGAAAGCAAGCAATACTTTACTCTAATATAGCCAAAGGCGTTGAAAATGAGTTCATTGGTCATACAAGAACTTCACCACTTCCTAACCCTAAATACTATAAATTAACTGGCTTCAATCGTGAGTTTTGGATAGACATGTTCTCCACTCATGACCATAAATGTCCAGTGTTCTTGCCTCCAGATGGGAAGGACTGTCTCTACATTGAAGCACAACTCTTAAACTCTACCATCGCAGTATTGTAAAATCTACGCTAGCTTTATTTTTATCACGAATGACCTCATTGCTGACAAAAATAAATGACCTCATTCATGACCTCATTCATGACCTCATTCATGACCTCATTGCTGACAAAAATAAGCCGCTAGCGGCAAGGGCGAAGCCCATGACCTCAGAACTTCAACTTACGAATAAAGCTTGTTTTAGTCGTTATTGAAAAGTTGAACTTTTCAGCAAAGCAAGGTTGACATGACTTACATAAGTCGAATGCAATCTCTTGACCATCATAAAGTGCTTTGTAAAGTTTCATTAAACTGAACTCAGAGTCTTTGTCAAATTTTCCTTGCGGAACCATTAAACCTTTATCTTCATCATAGAAACACTGAACAGAGTCAGGAAACATTTCATTAGCGGTTAAAGCAATAACATCTTGCTTCACGCCTTTCATTCTGCAGTGAAATGCAACTTCATTTAAATCGTTAGTGAGTAAGTCTATGTAGGTCTTCTTTCCACAGAAAATACTTTTATAAGCTAAACTTTGTTTTCCAGGTGTTATTTCTGCAAAGTCACTATGAAACTGACCAAGGTTTTTACCAATGAGAACTCTTCCATAACGTTTCTCAAACTCTTCAGCTAAACGAGGGATATCTTCATTGTAGAGATGCATACTGTCCGTATCGCTATAAAAGATGTCCATTCCTAAGTCTTCAGCAGTACAGAATACTTCATTCATAATACGTTTTGACATAGACAGAATATTAACACCAAGTGGACAGAAGTTAAAGTGTCTGCAAATGCTTTTCGTTAGCTTGAAAATAGTTTTATCTGAACCATCCAAACCTTCGAACTTCACTATATGGTTGTAATTTCTTATAGCATATCTTATAGCATCTTTGTCATCTACTATGGTTATTTTTGACTCAATAGGAGATAGAATAGTTTTGCCATAAATGCTGTTCAGAATGAGTTTTATAATTTCTTGTAAGGGGTTTTCTTCTTTCTTATACTTTAACCTTAACTCAAACAACTTCTTTACTTCATCTCTTATTCTCATATCTCTGTTTCCATCGTAATAGTATCCTTGCAACACTTCACATTTGACACCTTGATATTTTATGAGGTCTTGTAATGTTATATGGTCAACATACATTAAACAGCAAGTGTTTGAACTTCTTGGAACGTTAAGTTCTGGATTTAGTTCAGGGTCACAAACTATTAAAGGAAAGTGTCTATGTATACCAATCTCTGTTATCTTAATGAGAACAAAGAAGCCAGACATAAACTTTTCACCAATGGGTTCCTTTTGGTCGTCATTGAATAAATGTCTCATGAGATACTCTGTGCTTAACATTTCTTCCTTCAATACTTTGGAATACCTTCTAAAGTATAAAGTCTTGCTATAGCTGAGGATATAATGAAACAGCGTCGAAGTCAGCAATGAGTTTCTTTTGCTCTTTTGTTTCATGTTATCTGACAACATACATCTTCCACCTTGAATACAGCGTGAAATAAATTCTCTTGGTTTATTTGAGAGGTCATATAAATTTCCATTCGGGAAGTATACTCTGTTCTCAAACAATTTGTTAGCAATGAACAAATACTAACGTAGTCATAAACGTTTAAATCAAACTCTTTCAATAAGTCATTGCGGAACTTTACAAAACCTTCTCTTAAAATTCTTACATCTTGTTTGCAGTAAAACGTGCTATATTTTTCTAAGTCGAAGTGGTTTTCATCTATTCTGCAACCTTTGATGGAATCTATGTTTTTCATGAATGTATCTGCATCGGATAAACTTACATGCTTCAGAAATGACACCAGTTCTGTTGTCATTTGCTAACAAAACACTGCTGTAGTAGTTTATGGAAATACTTCTTTCGGTCCTGTTTGTAAGTTAAACATAGCAGGAAATAGTTTAAGCTTCTTATTTATAACACTGTAAGAGTCTTTTATAATAATTGCCCGTCCTTTATATAAACCAGTTATTTGCATTGTTCGTGAACCTTTAATGATGGGAGTTCCTTTCACTTCTGTCATGTGTCTTAAGATGAAGTTTATGTCATAACTGAGGTTATGGAAATATATTAAACTCTTGTCAGGAAGTCTTTCCAAAAATTCTGTTGCACAGTTTTGACCCCAAATGCTTTCACTCACTGAACCATCTTCACTGTCATAACAGATGTTAAAAGCTTTATGAAAGCCATCTGTGCTACACTCAAAGTCAGCAAAGAAAACGTGCTCAGGAATGAACTTACATTTTTTATTTACTTCTTTTGACTCTGCTTTCTTCTTCAGTTGTACACAATACTTTGGAGCATATGTCAAATCTTTAAATGGTGCAAGGTTCTGTTTATATAAGTCAGTCGTATATGTGAAAAGTTCTCCATAAGAAATAGGTTCGAAATATTTGCACTCCCACAATGTTTTCATAACATCCCATAACGGTGTTGTTCTATCATAACGAACTACATATTTTTCTCTCTCTTTGTATAAATCTTCATCTGTTTCTCAATGTTCATTCCACCACAAGCTTTGAGAATTTCTATATAGTTCGAATGAATATGTTGTCATTGGTAATCTTTCATTTAGCATGTAGTGGTCTTCAACAAGAAGTAAGTCAATAGTTCTAACAGTTTCACATTCTTTTGTATATATTCTTTATTTCATTTGGAGTTTGAAATAACCAATGGTAACATTAAATGCTATACCTGTTGCGTCAGAAATTTCTTGTACTTTACTTTGAGGAAAGTCTCTAACACGAATGACTTCTCTCATGTGGTCAATAGTTTCTTCATTTACTCCAGCCTGAATGCAAGCATAAACGAAACAATTGTCTCTGTCATAAGTGTTGCAGTTCTTTTGTTCAGTTCATTGAAGATTTGGTAGCGTTCAAGATTTATAGGTAATGTGCAAAGATACTTCCAGAACTGACCGCTTCTCTTCTTATAAAACTTCTTTTCACCATTTCTTTCCAAAAGCTTTCTATAAGTGCTGTTTCCTGTTTGCTTAAGAGCTTCCAAAATGGCTTTCTGGTCATTTGTCAGTGTGCTTTCATCTCTATATGGTCTCTTTTTTGGTTTGCCTTTCTTTACATCTGACATCGTTAAGCCTTCATATTCTGTTAAATCATACATCTTTATTTCGGTAAGATTCTTTATGTTTGTCAAGAAGAAGTCATAGTGCATTTCAACAATACCTGCAGCATTTGCTTCTATCTCTGATATAAAGTTCTCCTTCAAGAGCTGATGTAGTAATGTTCCAATATTATTGAGGTTTAACGTAGAACATTCATACTTTCCACCAAGTTTATAACATACCATCCATCTCTGTTGGGAGTTTATTTTAATTTCTCTAAGAGTCTCATGAAAACCTTACCGAAATGTTTGTGTAAGTAGTCTCTGTTTGGTTCATCTAAAGCTTCGATGTTAAAGTCAATGAGTCTATTGCCTGACTTCACATTTCTCTTCCTATTCTCTTCATCTTTCTTTAACCATCTCTCACCTTCTTTTGGTTTGTCGTCAATGGAACGAATGACATCGTTAGCTTTGCGAACTTGTTCTATAGCACTTTTAAACATCTCTCTTCTCTGTTGTTTCAGTGTGTCGTCTCTTCTTCTTGTTTCACCAACGTTTGCATTTGTTATGTCAAACATCTCTCTTCTTACTTCATGAGGTACTGAACGTCTATGATATAAGTCAATAGCAACGTCATTTAAAGGAAATGCTATTGCATGGACTTCGTCCTCGCCGCGTTGCGGCTTTATGAACTCATGAATTCTATCATAATTTATTGCACCATTATAGTCTTTAATGAAGTCAGCGAGTGCTTTTTTGTTTGTTGCGTAATGCTTTGCAACATCTATATTAGCTTCTGTAAGAAGTTGTTTTATTTCCGAGTGTTCTAACTTAGACAACTTCCGATACATCTTTAGTAGGAAATAAAAAAAATATTTTTGAAAAAATTAGATTAGATTTTTTTTAAGTTATTTTTCAAAATAATTTAATATTTTTATTTTAATGAAACACATGCAAGATTGCAAGTTCTTTTCATACAATGCTCTCGCTACTGCCATCAAGAATGAGTTCAATAATGCTTCAAACGTTAATGTTATCTTTAACAAGAAGTTTGTGAAAGAATCTAAGTTTGGTCAGTATGTCAGACCATTAGCTATCGTCATTGACCGCAAACGTTATACTTCACAAGAGTTAGCAGTAGTTTTGAAACAAAAGGGTTTCTTCGTGAATGTCAAAGATACTCATTATACTGTTATAAAGAACTCCAACATTGACTTCTTCAGTATTGCTATGAATCTTTCCGAACAGAAAGAATATAAGAAGGGTGAAACATCTGTGAAATATTATCCTTCATCTCTGAAGACAATAACGAACAAAGATGTTATACAAAAGTTCTTACCAAAGGTTGAAGAAGCTTCAATTGACATTGACGAAGGAAGTGAAATGGTTGAAGAAATTGACCCTGAAGCTATTTAACCAAAAATATATTTTTGGTGAAGAGGTGAGAATCTCACCTGTTTTTCACCTCATTCTCTCTTCGTTAATGTTGTCGTGACTTCTTCGTTAATGTTGTCGTGACTTCATTCTTCCTCTTTGAAGTTATCGAAATATTCTGTTATTTTTTCCTTCAGTAATGTTAAGTCTTCTTTGAAGGTAAGTATTGTGCAACCTTTGATGTCATAGTGTGTTTGAGGAAGAGTATTTTTGACAATTTCCTTTATTTGCTCATTCGGTGTCATTGAAATCGGTAAGTTTTCACGATAGAACCAGTTTCTGTCAGATTTGTAAATCTTAGCAAGGTCATAAAAGCTTTTGTTGTTTCTTCTGACTAAATGCAACATAACCATATCTCTGTCTTCTTCATTTTCCATCTCTTCAGCGTAAATCATATACTTATAACTCTTTTCCTTTCCTTTTGGTACTGAACGTGGTATTCTTTTCTGTATGCTTTTGTCTTTGGATTCAATGACTTCATCTTTTGCTTGAAGTTTCTTTTCCATCTGTTCGCGTTCTGCTTTATATAGTTCATCTAACATCATGAAAATATAACAAGCATAACGAGGTGAAGCCCACATTGCTACAGCATTTACTAAAAGTCTATGAACATAATAACCTTTCAAACCAGGTGCCAAATTCTTGCGATTTTCGTACGGAATCTCTTCCCTCGGTTTTCCGAGGGAAGCAATCATATGAGGAAATTCTTCTAAAAGTTCTTTTGCCTGTTGGTTTTCAAACCAATGATATGCTTGCTTTGTAGAACGAAGAGCGTTCATTATACTTTGCATTTGGTACATGTCATCTTTGACAGAACGAATGAGTCTCAATTGTTTGTTATACTGTATGTATTCGTATTCTTCATTTATGACTTCATGAACGATAGCAGTTGTTGTGTTCTCTAATGTTGACATATCTGTCTTTACATACAGGATAAAAAAATAAATAAAATAAAAACTAACTTTATTTTTTTTGAGATAAACACTATTTCTTCACAACATTAAATTTTATCCTGTATGAAATGACTTTAAAAAGATTATTGACTGACTTCGAATACTATCTCATTGACGCACTGACAGACCCTCAAAACTGTGTTGAAAGTTCTTTAAGCTTTAAGATTGAAGGTACGACGCATTTTGTCTTCACTTACGTATTGAAAGAATATGACCGTTATCATAACGAAGTGAATCAAACACTAATAAAATTTGTAGATAAAAAATTGGTTAACAATGAATATTTTAAACGTGAAGACCCAAACACTGCTGGAGATGATGAAGAATACAGACAAGTTATTGAAAAAAATAACGCAAGATTAGATGCAATAGAAAAGAAGTTTAATGAATGTCTTACAAACACGTATGAATATCTTATGCAGTGGGAAGCCAGATGGAAATAAATTTACGTCAAATATGCAATTTATAAAATCTTATGTCGACAGGCTACGTAGCACAGTGGTCTAAGGTGGTGTTATGGAGGGGTCAGAGTCTGTGGTTCGAACCGCGACAGCGCCGTATTTTCTTATTTTCTTTATTTGTCTTGTTTGTCGTGAATAAAAAGTGTCATAAAAGTGCTCTATCTTCCACGGGAATAAATAAAAAATTTACTTTATTTCTTCTTTATTTCTTGTTCCCGTGGAAGAAGGGTTTTGCTGTTTTTTCTCAGCCAAAATCAATGATTTTTTTCATTTTTGGAATCCTTAGCGAATGAGGAATCTTTTCTCTCGTGGAAGCTTTAACCTAAAATATAATTTAGGTGAAGAGGTGAGATGTCACCTGTTTTCTCACCTAATTTCTCACCCTCAGTCGCTAGCGGCGAGACCAAAGGGTCTTGAATTTTCATGAATTTCCTTAAGATAGAAAAATAACGTTAGTTTTATTTTTATTTATTTTTATTTTGTATGTAAAGATATGATTTCAACAATCGGCACAACAACAATTCAAGCCGCGAACGGCGGGACTCTGTCCACAACAACTTCACCAAACTCGTTAGTCATGAATCCAACATCTATGTTAGTAGAGATGAAAAACTTCATTCCTTCTTCATATACTTTTCGAAACAAAAATCCAGAAGATAAAGCAAGAACTTTTAACAAGTAATTTAGACTGTAGTGCGAAAGATGAAACAAATGAACAGTATCTTTATGAAATGCAGGACATTATGACCATTTACCTAAACTACCTGAAATTCAGCATCAAAAACTAACTATTCCTGAATTCGATGAAATAGAAGTGAAACCAACTGACTCAGTAGAAATAAAGAAGTTCATTCGAAAGGTAAACTATGAGTTTCTAGGATTTCATTGCAACCATAAGGTTATGGACAAAGATTGCGACATGGTATATAAGAATGTTTCTGACATATATAAATCCGGGGAGTTTAAGACCTACGATAACTTTGTTTCGTTAGTTGCTGAATGTGTATGGCAGATAAGAGATAAAGATAGAAGAGGTAAAATATGGAACGAACAGATAAGACCAACTGCTTTTGAGTTAAAGAAAACCATTGACGCCTTAGTTGTTTTTAGCAGGTAAGGTTTCAGAATATAACGCAAAAATGAATCCGCAATGTTCTAAATGTAAAGCAGCAATTAGGAAATATAACTACTCCGTCAAAGAGATAGAAAGAATGCGAAACGACTATGCAGACTTAAAGAAAGAAGCAGAAAAGCCAGCAGAAGATAAAATGAACATGTTAGAATTTCTGAACAAAAACTATCCAACAGCAGAAGATTTCCTTCTATCTGACGTCAAGAAGAAATATAAAGAGACTTTCGGTATTGTTAAATTTTGACATACTGACAGAAGAAATAGAAGCTACGAAATTGTTTAGGATTTCAAATATACATCGTACAATTCATGTAAAACGCTTGTGAAAAACTGGGGTGAGAAAAAGGTGAGAAAACGGGTGACATCTCACCTCTTCACCTAAACATTATTTTTATTGAATTCAATAAAAATAAATGGTTCATTTACTCACAATATTTTTTGTACAAAACGACCCCAAACTTTTAACTTCTTTTCTGCAGCTTCAAATGCTATCTTAGCGAGTTCATATTCTCTAAATTCTCTCTTTAAATCTTCTTGTTCCCATTGGTCTAGTTCGTATGGAGAATCTCTATAACCATAATATATCTCACGTTCATGTTCTAATTGTTTTTCCCACATTTTTTCCAACTTCTTCTTCGAACAAAGGTTTAGCATTCTCCACTGTATCTTCGAGTTCTTCTTCATCTAACTTCTCATGAACTTTCTTGTCTATGGAGTCCATAATATCTTTGACATAAAATGCATACTTTACAGAGCACCATTCAGCAACAAAATGAACGAGGTCAGCATGTATGTAAATACCTTTGAATTCATTCATAACGCCCTTAGTAAGCTCATAAAATGCTTGTTTGAGGTCGAGCCACTTTTGGCTCCACCGTATTCGTTCATCCAAAACTCAAGAATTTCCTGCATTTTAGTACTATTGAGAAATCTGTTTAAATGGTTTAACCTTCCCGCTTCTCTTGCCATCTTTGTTGCATTAATGTAACCATCCTTGTCTCTACGTAAGACTTCAATACCGTTATAAGTGCCTTTTGTGAATGTTTCACCATTAGATTTGTTAGTGAATGTTTTTGCTTCGACTGACATTATTGTCTTTACATACAAAATAAAAAAATAAATAAAAATAAAATTAGCGTTATTTTTTATTTCATAAGGAAATTCACGAAAATTCATGAGGTGAAAAAAGAGGTGAGAAAACGGGTGACATCTCACCTCTTCACCTATAATATATTTTGTCTGATTTACATCCAACGAAAAAGTTTAGAAGAATTTTCTTATTCTTTCTGGCATGTTTTTATCTTTCCAGTACTCCCGCTCTAATGGTCCCAGATGAGTTGGTTTTAGATTCTCTCAAGTTCTTAGATGGTATAACATCTTCAACGCCTCCTTTCATATCTTACTTTATAAGTGTCATCGTTTATGTTGTAGTCAAGTATTTCAATAACCACTCCTCGCTTTGCTTCGTCAATGGTTTCAGCAAGTTTGCCATTACTACTTTCGAACTAATTTATGTCGAGGATAAAATGCTATGGAGTCGTCAGCAGCTTTTATAAGATATCCATTACCTTGCGTAGAGTCTACGATATAATAATTTCGACTTAACCTTAAACGTTTCTTTGTCAACGGCTTGTCGTCAAGAACTACACGAACTTTTGTACCAGGAATGAGGGTAAATTGTGTTGAATTTCTGATATTTTTGTGTTTGACTTAGTTTCTTTTGTATATACTTTTCTTCTTGTTGTTGTGTCATTGAATTTGGTGTATGTCCTGTTGTAGAATGCGTTGAGGAATTGTAAACTTCGATGAAATGTTTCATTGTTTCTTCGGTAAAGTCTCGCTCTTGATTTAAATCTCTGAGAGTCCTTATGAAGCGGTTAATGATACCGAGTATGTTATGGTTATGGTCTTCAGTAGTGTAGTGAGTTATGTTATGCTTAATGAGAAATTCTGTGATTTCATTGCTGAGGTATGCACCGTCTTGGTCTGATGTTAAAATACTTGGGCTATGTTCTGCTACAAACTTTTGTAAAACTCTTAACACTTCATGAGTTCCTTTATTTCTCATTATATACGCAAAAGCTTTGCGAGTGTTAACATTAATGAAGATGAGGAATGGTTTATGTCCTCCTTTTCTGCTTTGAATGAGAGTGTCAAATTGGTATGCGTCAGGAGTGTTGGAGTAAATTGGTAAAAAGTAGTCGTAAGGATTTATTTTTGTTTGATGTACAACATTTTTGTCAAAGAACCTTTTCACTTCAGCTCTGTTAGTAAATCCCGAACTCTTTGCAGCTTCATTGAATTTCTTAAAAGACCTCCATGGATGTTGTTCGAATACTTCTTTCAAGCTCATTTATGTAAAGTTAAAGATTTTATTCTAGGCTCAAGCGCGTTCATTGAACTCTATACCATGCGAATACAGTCACAAATGGTGGCATATAATCTGCACCCGAGCCTGTTGGATTTGTTGTGAAAGTATGTGAATGATTTCCTGCGGTTCCACAGAAAATACCTGCGCTTGAATCTACTGGGTCACTTGAAATATCATATCTATGCATTCCCTGTCTATCCGAACCTGCTGCAAGATTTGTATAACCTCTTTTTGTTATTGAATGTGAATGACTACCTGTTGTGTTTGTAGTTCCTGTATGAGTGTGCGGTGGAAGGTTTGCTTCAGTAATTTTCTTCGAACCTCCTGTTTGCTTTGAATATCTAGCACAGTATAAGAATTTATCTACAATCTGTTCCCACGTACCGAAACCCAGAACTGTTGCTGGATTTGTTGAGTTCATTGACGTATAAATAGAACCTATAGGATATAATGTTTGAAGTATTTCTGTCTTTAATGTTTGAAGCTCTGTTTTGTCTGCTTTCTTGTCATATAAATCTTGAGCAGTGAATTTAATATTATGTTCATCCTTCATGACATAAACATCTTTACATCTAATGTTTTTCATCGTCGTTATGTCGTCATCCGATGTTAAACCTTGTGGAAAGTTAGGAGGTTTACAATATAATGCATCCCCACCAGTTCCTTCAACCGTTCCTTCAATACTTTCTATACCAACAGTTGTGAAGAAATCATGTGTATGAGTCTTATTTGCTTTCTTATCTAACATTGCTGGTAGTTCATGTGTTTCAAAGTTTCTGACATGACCTTCGATATTCATACATTTGTTATTTAAGGAGTTTAGTGTATCTTTTACGCTTGTACTTGGATTCTCTAAAGGTGCACTTGAACCAAGGGTATAGTTCAATATTATGTCGTCTGCTCTAACAGTAGTGAAGGATTTATGTGTATGGTTCTTGTCGGCTTTACTGTCTAAAGAAGTTTGAAGTTCATTTATATCGGAGATGTTGTGTTTATGAGATTTCAAAACTTTGTTCATTGCTTCGAGTTCAACTTTGTCAGCTTTACTTTTAATAGCATCTTCAAACGTTATTTTTGACTTAACTCTCAAAGTAAATCTTGGTTCAACTAATACACCGTTAACATTGAAAGTAGAGGCATAAATTTCACCGGTATAACCAAATGCTTCTTGTGCTTTACCTGTGTCATAATGTACAGTACAGCTTATGTCATAACCTTTAGCACGAATGTATTTATATCTTCTTTCATTAACATCTTCAGTGCTTATTTGTTCATTCTGTGTTAAATATCCATGGTAGTCCGTTATAATCTGTTCGTCTGAACTTATATAATGAACATGGTTTTTGTCTGCTTTTTCGGCTAATTTCTCATTAACATCATTCACTTCTAATTCAACTCTTCCGCCAGAACTCTTATTATCATTAATCTTTTTCATTAATTCGGTAATTACGTCATAAAGACTATATTCTGTTTTCGGTTTTGTAAATAATGAGTCAAAATTTCTTTTCATCATTACATCGCTGACATTAATGATATCACCAATTCCTTTTTCATTTATTCTCTTCATTAATTCTGCAATAATGACGAATATATAATCTGTTAATTTATTCTCTTCATCGAGGGTTATAGAATGATTTGAAATCGAATCATTAACTCCTCTAAATAAATCAATAACTTCAGGATACACGTTTTTAATGTCTCGAATAACCCGACCAGTATCCTCGCCACTATGTGGCTCTGAGCCCGTTGGGCTCTGTTGTTCATGTTCTTCGTTCCCGTCGTTACGTGGTTTTATATCTCTAACCATCATCAACGCAGCCATAACCGGAGGGTTTGTTGCTACCTGTTCGAAAATCCGTCCGTTATGTATGGTATATCTAAATAATTTCTTTGTGTTTGTTAAAACATTTGAAACAAGTCTTTTAAAACCATCTACAAAATTTCCTGTTTCACCTAATGTTCTTGCAGCATTTACAAGCTCACCCATTCCCGCTTTTGACCCCAAAAACGTCCATATTGCATTTATTTCACTCTGTATAGTTGTCCATTCAGCGAAACTAACACCCGCATTCGCTAAGCTGAAAATGAAACTCAGTGGATCGAACTTAATTCCACCTTCTTTTTCAATTTCAACGAACTCACTAACATGAGATTTTAAATATTCTTTCGTTAAAATTGTTTTCCCCGATGTTATGTCATTAACGAAACTATCACCGTCAAAAGTTAACGAATTCAATTTCGTCGTTGATGCTTTTATTTCATACACCGCTTTATCAATAGTTTTTGGCTCACCTTCTTTAGAAGCATATGAAACATTAATGAATGAATTATATGTATTCGTGAATGAGTTAAAATCAATGATTTTCATTAATGACGCCTTTAATGATTCATTAACTGTTGAATCCCTTAAAACAATTACTGAACTGTCGTTAATGAAAGGTACCCTGCAAACCGTCGAGTTTGGATCAAATGCTGTAGTTGGTGCAGGAATATTAATGATATAAGTCATTAAATCATTAAGTGACGTAAATAATGTTGTCGTTTTTGATTTAATTTCTTTAGCATCTGTTATATACGGTAATTTTATTTCTGTAGTTTCTGAATTAAAGATATTCGCTAAAATGTTTTGTAAACTGTTTTGAACAGCAGTATAAACCGTTGAATTCGGAACTCTTACGATTTCACCGTCCTTAATAAAAGGCATTGCACATGGTGTAGTGCTTGGGTCAAATCTTTCGGGATTATAATTCAACATATATTCTAATGCTTCATATACAGACTTATATACTGTTGTGTCGTTCTTCATGACAACTTCACCATTTACAATGAATGGCATTGTACATGGAGTTAAAATAGGGTCAAACTTTTCATAGTCTTTCCATGTTATGTATTTCTCGGTATTTCCATCAGAAATAACAATATATTTGTCAGTAAGTGTGAGAGAGTATTGACCAAAATATAAACGTTTAGCTCTGTCAGTTTCATACGCATATGCAGCAATAGTCATATTTTAATGAGAATAAAATGTTGTTCTATTTGCAAAGTACAGACCCAAACGAATACGGGACAGTAAAGCTACAAACAAACTTAGGTCTTCAGAATGAAGCGCTTGCTTTCAGAGTTGTTGACTTCAATACTATCGCTTCATTCGTTATAACAGATGAAACAGATTTCATGGAGATTGAAATAGATGGAAAGAAGCATGAAATAAGATTTCACAATAATGTAGAATATAAGATGGAAACATTAGCTGGAGTGTTAAATGCGCTCATAAATACTACAATAAACAAGGATAACGAAGAAAACTTAATGAATGTTAAACTTATTGCAGGAGTTTTGAAGTTCAGTTATGCGAAGGAGTTTAAGATAACACGAATGAGTCATAGAGTTCAATTGCTTCTGGGAGCATACCATATGACATTTCCTTTGAAAAGTATTGACAAAACGATTGAGATGAAATCTGTTCCATACGTATGTTATGGCAATTGTTTATACATTGAGTCAAAAATAGCTAATGTCACAGGTATTTCAGGAGTTAATAGTAAAGGTTCAGTAGAATATAAGTCTTTCTGTTATGCAGTCAATTCAATGTTCATTCCAAACGTTCCTGTCATAGCAACTCATTTAGGTAAATGGATTCGCATTAGTCCTCATAATTTGAAAGACATGCAATTCAGACTTGTTGACTTTCAAGGCGAGCCTGTAGAACTGAAGGCACCAGTGCGAATGACTGTTGAAGTTGACTTTTTAGAAAATATTAAATGCAACAGCTTACAAGAGAACTCAGAGATAAAAATATAAAGTATGAATGTTATGTATTAGGTCATGAACTTTGGTTGTTGCTGTTTGATGAAACAAATGAGTTAGTTATGTCAGTCAAGAGAACAGAAAAAGGCGTCAAAGGCGCCGAGCGCAAAGCGCTATATTGTGTTAGTGAAAACTGCACCAAGTCAATAAGATTAGGTTTGCATTATGAAGATGAGTTCGATACTGTTGAAGAAGTTTTGGATAGATATTACAAATTGCTTTAATTTACTAAAACATATTTCAAGCAAAGTTTATATTCTGTTGAAAGTTTTGTATACTCGTTCGAATATTTATACTTAAACTCAACTCCTGTAGTTCCTGGTGTTTCAATGATGCGGATGTTACCTATTTTCATGAATGGTGGAGTTTGACCACAGCATTCGATTTCAGGGTCGAGATAGTCAATGACACATTGTTTCCCTGTTATTCGTGAGATAACATTTTCAAGGTCCTCCTTTGTTAGAATTATTTGGTTCTTGCTTATAAGATTTGTCAAAAGCTTCTTATCGTCTTTGAGTAAAATTGTTTGGTATAACTGAAGAAGGTAATGGTCTACGTTATCTGAAGGATTTGTTTGAACATTTGTGTAAGGATTGTCGTTGGCTTCTCTTGAAAGAATTTGGTCCAGTGGTGGATACTCTAACTTAACATCTGATGTAGCGTTAGCGTTTGAAGCTGTGTTTAAATTCACGGATTTCAGCTCTGGTTCTTTTTCTTTCAAACACTCTGAACTATAGTTCTTTATGACAATATTGTTTGTCGTTCGTGAGTCAACATTTGATGTTGGTTCAATTGGAACATTAACGGCACCAGCTAAGATGGATTTGCTTCTCATTTCATATAGAATAAAAACCTTTTATATGTATGAAATGAACAATATACTCGACAAGGGTTTGAATGTAAAGCTAACGAATGAAAATATTGTTGAATTCACTGAGACAGGAGCTGTGTATAAAGATGTAGAACTACTGAACAAAAGAGCTAAGGGAAGAAGCAGGAACATGAACAAAGGGTGGAAGCCTATAAAAATTTATGTCAATGATGGCTCAGGAGGTTCAAACATAAAGTATGCAGAAAGTTATAGAGTTTATGCGCTAAAAGGTGAAAAGCCTTCATTTAAGAACAGCTATTCTAACGCATATCCTCAAAAGTTAACGGATGGGGAAGTGGATGATATGAATGACAGCAAAAATATTAACAGAAATGGCGACAGAGATGCATGGAATTTGTTTACCATCAGTCAATTGAAGGTTAAACTTTAAAACAATGTTGGTCGTTCCCATGGAATATTTTTGACTTTAATGGTATTAGTCATGATATGAATCTCAAGGTATGAACGAGGAGAGATGAGAGACTTATATGCTTCCCAAATTTCTTCAAAAGGTAATGTTATACCTGACTGTTTCCAAATGAGTTCAATATCATAACGTGAGAAACCTTGAAAGATAACGAAGTCAGTTATGAGACGTTTTATGTTTAAAGCTAAAAACCTCCATGTTTGCATAAGTATTGCTACAGTTAAGTGGTAATGTCTGACTTTAGTAATGATGTTAGCTAATGGTGAGTCAGGCTTTGACACTAAACCTTTACCAGCGAAGTCGTCACAAACTAATAAAGTGTTTGAAGGATATTTTTTGAAGGGGTATTTTGAAAGTTTTGATAGAATGTAGTTTGTAAGTCGTTTCATATCGTAAACTCCTGAGTATTGACGTAAGTGGTGTTTGTCAATAATTCTTTCCATCTCTTCTGAAGTCTTTTGCATTCCTGACTGTATAAATTCAACGATGGCATAATATTTCCTCTTACGTCGAATGTAACGTTGAAGAAATTCAATGAGTTCGCTATCTGGAACTTTAACGACCGAGGCTTGAACTTTTGACATAAATGTTTTCGCTGTTGAGTCCATAGAGTCTGAAGTTGCTGATATAATGATTTGGTCATAATATGAATCTTGACCTAAACGCTCTGTTATGAGTATATGACGAATGAGGTTAAATGTCTTTCCTGACCCCATCTTTCCACAATAGAAATAAACACCATTTGAACAGAACTCATAGTCCTTACTGAAAGGAAGAATGAGAGAAGAGTTAAGTTTGTCTGTAGTTTCATTCATGTCTTCATCTACGTCATGTATTAAATGCTTCATTTTATCTCCATTAAAAATGCAAGTCAGAAATATTCAGAACATAGCACCGAGTCTAACTGACAAGAGTATAAAGATATACTATGAACACGTTATGATGAAACCTACCAAAATTCAAGAAAGTCAGTATACTTATGAATATCCAAGACACTGGGTAGAGTATGTAGGAGGTGAGAAAGCTATTGAAATAAGACAGGTTCGAAGTATTCCAGCAGGAAGGACAATATTATTGAAGAACTTTAATGTTTTGAGATATAATGATGAAACAAAGAAGCAAGATAGTTTTCCTATTGCTGTGTATGTGAACCTAGACACAGGAGATGACATGAAAGTTTTTAACACAAAGCTTCAAACGGTAGTGAGAGAACAACTGACTGCGGAAGGACACCCATTACCTTCAGAAGTTAGCATAGCATATAATTTTGAAACAAACTCAATAGATTTTAAAGTCGTCTCTGCAAAGAAGTCAGGTTTTACATTTAATGAAGCAGATGTATATTCGAATGAAAACTTCAAAGCTATTGCATGGTTAGATAATGACGATTGCTTTAAGAAAATCTTTAAATACAGTGACTCAACGATGTCAATAGATGACCTTCGTGGAATGTTACCATCGA